GCAGCATTGCCTTTTATTCTACTTCATTTGGAACACGAGAATTAGGGTAACATAGTTTATTTGTTGTATTCAGTGTGCTTTGATTGACCTTTTATTGATTGATTAATATTTTCCTAATGACTGCCACAGATTCTTAAAGGCCAATTGTCAAATTTTCTATTTTTTTTTTCTCTGCATGAGAAAAAACATACATAAAATGCCTTACTGATCTTCAATTTGCAAAGGTGTGCATCTTATCCTGCAGATACAGTTTCTCCTCATGATATTTTCATTTCAGTTAATTTCAAAGAATAAGCTAAACACAAGTTAATTGAAAGAGTAAAAACAAGTCCTGTCTCCACTTTATCATTATAATTCTATAGATATCTCTACCTGAAATAAACAATACAGCTCCTTCTGTGTTTCAGCTGTATGTATACTGACTTCGTTTGGTTTCCAAAACCATTTGGAACCTGAAATGCTTCATGCATACAACCTTAGGGAGAAATCCTCAAAAAAAAATAAAATTGAAATATGAACTCAAGTCTGCAAATTTAAAAGTTTAGATTTGTATTTGCACCATCTTGATATTTTAATGCATATATTGTTTGCAGAGCAAGTATAGAAACCAGCAGATAAAAGACCTCCCTTAGCACATATGTTTTCACAATGCATCATACTTGATAGCTTCAACAAAGCTAGTTGTATTTTGACAAACTTCACCCACAGATACAGGTTCAGTGCATTTTATTTGTGACAAAATTGGATCATTTCTATTTGATTGACTATAACTGTATTATTAATGCTCAAATGTATGTCTGCAAATTATACGAACGTTTTTTTTCCACTCAGAAGCAATGTTCAGGTGCCCAGAAAACTGATGAGGGTGAAACAAAGGCTACTCCTTGTAAACATCATCATTTTGGAGAAGTACAGGGTTGTTTCATTAATTGAGATGAAATACTCATAAGAGATGGGAATGTCCATAGTAGAGCCAGCTCAACCACTTGTTTGTTAACATATCCCCAGACCCAGTGAAGTTGAGCTTGGGGAACTGCTTCATAATGCATTTAGTGATGTGCAAAAGATGCTAAGCAAAAATAGTATCAGATTCCAACCTTAGAGAAAAAGAAAATGTGAGTCCTATACACACAAGAAAATAAAAAAGAGCATAAAAATCTTGAAAATAGGGCCAAAAGTGTCAGGTAATAGAGCAGCAGCATGCTTTCACAGATCTCTGACTACCATAGTCTTGGCCTAACTCCCAGCTTCAGAAGTTGGATCAAACTAACCATCATTTTGCCAAAGCTGATGGAAGCTCTAAAAATGTAAATCTGAGCTGCAGCATAAAAGTGAAAGAATATTTCTTGCCTTATACAATTTTTTCAAAGCACATAAATCTTAAAATTAAATGCTGGGACTCTGCTCTGTTTGGGCTATGCAGCAGCCAAAATAGGTAACCAAAATTAATGGAAATAGGGCAGTAAGCTTTTTCAGGATTATAATGTGATGCAAGTGTTGGGTGGAGTGATGACAAGTCTACTGCTCCTCTAGATATCTATTTCATTTTTCTGCACTCAGAAGTCGCACATAGTTGTTCCATCTAGAGAAACCAACAAATTCATGCATCTAGATTTTCATGAGACAGAACAATTTGTCAATCAACACCAGCACTAATTATCATTTACTAAATCCTCTCAACCAATCTTGTTTATATATGGATATATAATGTTGTATATGCATTAAAATATTAGGAAGCATAGTTTATGAAGGTAAATATCTTATAAATTAGAGGCTATTGATAAGCATGTGGAACCCAAAACCCTGTGGATTTTTTTAAAAAAGTTGGAAGGTTTAAAGTAGAAATGCAAAGTTGGTGGCTTACACTTACATGTGACTAAGGTGAGATACTAGGCTGAAAGAAAATTGCCTATTGCTGGGCAAATTTGACTTCTTTGTAACCTTCTGTGTCAAGTTATGGAAATACTAAGAAATGAAAGATGCCATACACAAGCGTTTTGACAAGAAACATATAAGTGCATTAAGTGTGTTATATTATTGTGACATGAACATCATAGTTAAGTTATACAGAATAAATCTAAACTGTTTTGTTCAGTAACAGCAGGTTTTACAAGAACTAATACTTAATATAATGACTGTCTGAATTGGTAAACTGATCAAGACAATGTCAGCAAGACAGTTCTAAGATGTATATACGAAGCTATATATATTTTTTATATTGTATATATATCAGATATCATAAGACATTATGTACACACACTATACATGGAAAATATTTGCACGTAACCCAATATACTATATACAAACCTTTTTTTTATTTCGTTGTTTAAAGCAAAAGCGAATTTAAGAACGTGTCCATGTGAATACTTGTTTGCCTAGCATTATTCACTTCAACCCTTGCCAATTCACTTCAAACTTGCCAATGAGTTATGATGTACTGCATCTTTTATAATTATAATTTACATCCATTTTAATTTGGTTTACAATTTTCCCCTCTTTCTTACACATTAAGTTCTGTCCTATCACTATTCTTCTGGCATGATGGGATGTAATGTTATGGTGAGCCTTAACAGGCATCTAGGTTTTATTGTAACAGCAACATTAATAACCTTGGATGGTGGTGTTAAATCAGTAAACTGACTTTAACTCTTCTTGTTATATGAGTCAATATATCAAAGGCTTGGGCTCATTTGTACCAAGTATGGTTTCCCAGAAGTAATGCCAGATTCCCTTGATCTTTTTTTATTATTTTTATTTTCCCTCCTTTTCCCCTTCTTTTCTCTGTGAATAGCTAGGTAAGGAATGAAATGCTGGCCCAGTTAAAACCTAAACCAAAACTCTTGGTCTGTTTGATAAGGTCTTCAAAATAGAATAGAAAACTCTGCTCCTCAGAGCCTGATTGCAAGAAGGGATGAACTAACATGGAGGTGAATAGAGTATAATGTGACAAACTCAGTTGGATGCCTGTAACGGGGAAAAACAAAAAAATAAAAAAATAAAAAGTGAACTCTGGTCTCAGTTGGTATCAATATTGACTATTTTCTGTACTTAGGAGGATGCTAAGATGCAGTGTTTTACCATAACAATACTCTAAAAAAGCAAATCTCCTGATCATCCTCACTTCTTGAGCTTTGATTCACGTTGCACCTCCAGAGCGTTAAAACTAGGGTGAAACTCAACTGGAAGATGCCTTCTGGCAGGACACTCAATGCTCTCCAGCTGCTATTGGGAATTTAGTCTACCCACCAGTCTGCATTCAAAGCAAAAACATGCACAGTGCAAACTCAGATCCTCAGCACCAACCAGTGCTCTAGAGATTAGTTCCTATTGTGCTGCAGTACTTTATAGCGCAGACAGAGCTATATCACATAAGCACCCGCAAGAGAACCCCTAAGGCTCATCAGTTGTAATGATGTCTCAAAACAAATAGTAAATCTTACTTTCTGAAGCAAGTGAACAGTATAGTGAAGAACACCTATTGTTGTTTTTTTTTTTGTTTGTTTTTGTGTTTTTTTTTTTTGAGGAAAACTAACAAAAAATACACTCTTCAAGAATGGAAGAAAGAATCAGACATGTAAACAAATGCATTTCTTAGATGAAACTTCTCAAAAGCTTATTTTGTTTTTACCCTGGAAGCTTTGTATTCTAACTTTTGGGACCAAAACAGATAACTATTGAGTAAACAGAATAGAGAATGACATATCTTCTAGGAAATGTTTATAATATTAATTTATCTAGAAGTGTGATGTTGCTGACAAATGCTGGCAAAAAAAAAAAAAATAAATAATCAGTCATGAATTAGAAGATTAGTAACAGAACTTCCAGTGTGTTACCTCATTCAACCATGAAAGAGGAATACTCAGTGGTGAAAGCATAATTAATATCCTATTTCCTTTAGGGTCAATAAAACAAAAGAATAAGAAATACTTGTAACATTGCCTTTCTACAGCTGAAAAAAAAAAAAAAAAAAAAAAAAGATTAAATGGATTACTTTAAGATAAGAAAAATTATAACAAAGGATGCAAAAATTTTTAACTCAGAATTGTTCCATTTAAATGTTACTATTTTGAATAAACATTCCTTTTCTATTAAAAAATAAGAAATATTCATTATATTAGGTTAAATTATATTACTGTGATATGCAACCAACAAATACGTATCTCTGCAATTCCAGAAACAAACACTTTGAGCGTTTCATAAATATTGGTTATAAATATTGGATCTCTCTTCAAATTTATCTTAAAAAATGTAGAATTAAATTTTTACATACAACACAAATACATTCTGCAGTTACTTTAGTGTCTGAATATTGAACAGAATTAGTAGGATTGGTTAGGAGTGATTCATCCCTTGTTTTGGAAGCGTACATAAAAGATGAAGGTATACAATCCTGAAGTTCTGAACAAGGAGTGTTGAACATCTGTGCTGTTTCCTCTCTAAGAAAAAAAAAAGTTCATATCCCACCCAGGGAGAAGAAATGACCCTGATAAAGAATGTAAGTGATCTTGTTTGACCTGTGACGCAAGACTAGTGCTGACCTCTACCGCCTAACCACAATACATGGTTTTTGTTATAAGATTGAGCAAGTGTGCACTGCTGAAAAGGAATGCAAGGAATACGAATGATGCTGAAAGTCAGAAGAATGAAATATTGATTGTGGAAGTGAAAGTGTGTTTGTTCAGGCAGGTAAGAAAGGCAGAATGGATGATGAAGAAAAAGAAACAAGAGAAAAAAATAAAATAAGTGTACGTATAACAAAACCATTTGTATTCTAGAAAGAAATCAAATAACATGCCACTTCCTTGTTCCTTCCTCAGACTAATACTTCTCTTAATAAGTTTTTAAAACTGATATTATAGCATTTAAAACAAAAACAAATATTGTCCCATATAATTAAGAGAGTACCAAAATGTTAATCCTACTCTTTTAATTTGGTGATGTTAGTCATCAGCATTTCATATTTGTATAACTCTTCAAATGATAAATTAAGTACTTCTTACCCAGCACATGCAGAGCATGATTAATCACTCTCATTCAGAAACCATCCATCCCATTCTTTTTTTTTTTCCTATTTAAAATAAGCAAACACTCTTTATTTGCCAATAGCTGGATGCATATTTTTTTTTCTAATATCAGCATGGAATAAAAATGTTCCTGAAAAAAAAAAATATCACATGAAAGATTTTAATTGTCAGCTTTCTCACATAGTAACTTTAAAGTAAAATAACATTCCACTGGCATGGCAATGCAGCTTTCTACCTGCACGAAGCAGAACATTTGATATCCACTCCTTACAACATATTGTCTGTGCAGGTCTTTTGCCAAATATGATTAATGCACCAAATGAAAAGCTGAAGTCAAACTTAATCTATGCAATCTCAAAGCACAAATCAATGCACTTTTTTCACATCCAAGAAGAATGATTTATTAAGGAAACTGTGGAAGGAATTTATTAAATGAACTCACGCCAGCTGAAAATTTGGCCTGCAATTTTACATAGGACTAATAGAAAAATTAGAGAATATGACAATAAATCTAATTACATTGCCTCTTTTTTTTTTTTTTTTTTTTTAATAGAAACATTTTTTTTTAATCCTGAAATATAAACACAGAGGACCAAGCACAAAAGAATAATACTGCCAGGTCTGATGTACAAATCCTGGTAATAGGTGAAGCAATCAGACAGTCTAGCCTGTCAGCAGTCAATATGCTGTACATTTTTAGTAACAGTAAGAATATGTTTGGTGGAGTTGGATGACTCAAAAGACAGGAAATATAACATGGATCTTTACATCTTTGGGTCACAGGTTCAAATGCAACCCCAGGCTGGATCCACAGTGCCTAAAGTGCCTGCTTACACATTGGAACCCAGATGCCATTTACTCTACACAGGTCCTTAAGAGGTATGGATGGAGAGGTGAAAAAAAAGATATTCAAAAGAAGGTCCAAGGGAACCCAAGGGAACTAGGACACCCAACAGGGAACTGCAGCCACAGTTCCATAGAAAAATACCTTTTTTTCTCCATAGAGTAAGCATTTGAATTCAAAGTGCAATTGCATACTTGTGTTGCTAACTGATGATCTATAATCTGGAATCTTTCTCCAGAGCCAGGTGTTCAAGGCTGTTGTGAGTGAGGTGCCCAACAACTGGGTGCCTTAAAGTATTGAGGAAGATTAGCTTGTTCTAAAATGTAGTGAGAGAAGCAGTTAGTGATGTTTGTAAAACCTTTTTACAAAGTCAGCCTCCAAAAAAAAAAAAATAATGATAAACTCAACTGATAAACTGTTTAGGAAAATTACTTCTATTTTGTCCCCAGCTTAGGGGAGTTCACACACATATTCATTACTTTTAATGTTCCAACTGCCATACTAAAATCTATCCTGAGGAAAAGAAAATGTTTTCTCATTCCTCCTGTTGAATTTATAGCTCTATACAGGAATAGAAAAAAAGAGTCAAGAAATGAGAGGAAACCTTTACCTGAAAAGGTGAACATAACTCTATAGAGCACAAAATTGAGAAATCTCAATTCTAGTCCTAGCTCTTGTTGCTGTTTATGCAACTTCAGATTAAATTGACATTCACTAGGTAAAATACAGATAAACTGCTGATTCAGGTACTTCTCTGGAAGTTTTATTTGTCTCTGCAGACAGGAAAAGAAAAAAAAAAAAAGGAATTGCACCTTACCTGCAGAGAGAAGGAGAAGTACCAAGTGTGTGTGCTATAACAAAAAGGATGCTGCTGCATCTTGAGGGGATCTTGAACCCATCAGTGTCATGAGCACATTCAGTAAAAGTATACTAGAATTGGGATCCCCATGGTATAAACGGAAAGTTGGTCTTGGTCTCCAACAGTTACACATGCTCAGACTACAGCAGGCCTGAGCAAGCAAAGCAGTTGAAATCTGGGTACTCTCAGCATAAAGGAAGTTTTCAATGACAATTTTGTATTTAGCTGATTTGCATAATCCCACTAGAGCTTGTAAAACCTTTAGCCATCAGCCTAGTCTAGCCTTCAGTTGCCAATATCTGAAGTTGCTGCCAACTGACAGAACATCAGCAAATCAGGAGGTGAACATAACTGCATTTGGAAAAAAAAAAAAAAAAATCCGTACCAGTTCACATCTCTTCTTCTAAAAGAGGTTCTAAGCTTTCATCTAGATGGAAATAAGACACACCGGCCATTTTAGTGTAAAATGTTTTTTAAGCCACATTTCCACATTTATTTCAGTATCTTAATTCAGTAGGTAGCTCAAGCATGTGCTAAATGGAAAGTCTACAAATACCTCTGTAGTATTTGAGGAACAAGCTTACTTGTTTTGCTCTTTGAGTGAAAACTTTAACTACTAAGTTTATGCTGTATTGTAATATGGAAGTATAAAAATTAATACCGCTTGTAACACATCAGAAATTCTAATAGACTGGCTTCAGAACAAAATTTTCATGTTAAGGTCACTTTTAGTTCTGATATTTTGCAAGTACAAATAATTGAAGGATTAAAATTTCATCAGCAATTATGCATATGCATCATTAAATTAATATGGATGTCTGATATGTGAACACACTGAAATTCTCAGAGGCCCAAGTGATTTTAGTTGTTCCTTCATACTACATATTCCACTTTCTATTTCAACTATCTGCAAATCACTAAGCAAATACAATACAAAATAAATTTCCCGAAGTTAGCATCCTCCAAATTTTTCCCTTATTTGGGGTTGGTCTTTAAAAGTAGACTAGAAAGTACACTGACATTGCATCATCCCACAGAAGGTTCTAATAAACTTAAAAAGCATTGAATTTTTCTAATAAGTACTGAAAGAAAAGCAAAGTAAGTTATGTTGATATCATGTTTCCTATGAGTTTCATCTTATAGGAATCACAGCCTGTGAATATCATCCATTTCTCTTTCTGAACCTCTCTTAGAAGTATCCAAACTTCATATTAACCCTATCCTGTTATTTCTGCAGCAAAATCTTGCCAGTCGATTTCTTTCTTCAATGAGTCTGGAAAAATTTCTTATCGATACATCTTGATACCTCAATGTGTTCTCTTTGTAAGATATTTTCCATAGCCATTGTATCAATTTAGTTGAATAGTAAAATATATATATATAAGGCCTCAAAAATACCACGGTATGCTACCTTTCCCAAAAAACATGTACTTCCTATCTTACAGCAGATCCCCTGCTCTTGAAATTAATTACAATGTTCTTTGCTACAAAAGAAGGTAGCAATGCAACAGCAACACAAGGGACTTTGAGTTTTTTTTCTGATTTTAACAAGTTCATCATTATTCAAATGTCAAAACAACAATGTGTCTTTTTACACCATATTTTATATAATGTTAACTCTTCCACCCTAGGGACTTGCACAGACACCTCAGCCTGATCTCCAACAAATGCAATCAAAACTCTTGACATATCCTGAGGTTGAATCCATTAAAGTGTAAAGACTTTGACATTTTGGAGCATTCTCTTTATGTTACATTGACAAATGGAGGGGTTTTGTGTTTCATTGGTTAAGAGGGAGTCAGGTTTTAGTTATTTGAACCTGGGGTAACTTCATTCATGGATCAAAAAAGACCTCTTGGGGCTTCCAAAGTCTTAATTATTTTAGAGCTACAAGGCATGATTTGGTAGAGATTTGGGTAATGGGAAACATATTCTTCTGGGATCACTTCACTTTGGGGAGCTTTCCAGCTGTGAAACAGGCTCTCAAACTTAAAAGCTCTCCAAAACTCTACCTGGCCCCAGGCCCAAATTTCCCTGTAACAAAAGTTGACTCGTAGAAGAACTAATGTAATGTATGCAACAAAAAAACTGCAACATTAAAGAATTGCTAAGATTTATGATAACACTAAAACTTGTTAAAGTGTTTTTAAAAGGTCAGCTTTTCACATTTAGAATCAGAAGAATGTCCATTTTTATATAATTGCCACATACCTAATTCCACATGCAGAAGTGACAGTTATTTTATTATACAAGGTATATAAGGAGGTTTCCACATGACAGTATTAACTTCCTAAAATAAAGTGAAATTTCCAGTTGTTATCATTCAGAATGATAAATATCATGGCTCTTTCTACTTTAGAACTGTTTTGCTGAACTCAGCTAGTACTCTGGAATGCAAATGGCTCATTTATTAGTTAATGTAAACAAATAAATAATTTCATTGAAATCTTTGGGTGTCTGGCATTGCTTCACATCATTTAAACAACACATTACTTTTGAGACAAACTTTTTACCAAAAAATATGGAAGACAGGCCACTATTGAGCACACTAATAGTAATTTTATAAATTTTATACTGCAAGTACATGTAATGTTAAGTAAGAGATCTGCCCCATAGAACTTGGAATATGAACAAAGTGGAATTTTCATTCAGAATTGTTTAAATTGAAAATGTTTCTATTGCTATCAGTATGAATTTTATAGGCTCAAATCTGTTTAGAAATGCACAGAAAACTTTGGAGCCCAGAACAGACGCTCAGTCTAAAGTTCAGTTTGTGCTTCAATGTAATATGTTTCTTTCCATAATTATTATTATTTCCATAATTATTATAAAGACTAAACTAAAAATGTCTTCTTAACACACACACACACACAAAGACTTAAAAACAACTGATGGAATTATGATGAATATATATATATACGTGTGTATGTATATATAACACTATTAGGCTTGATGAAATAGCACATGCACTGAAATCAAACAAAGAAATGACCAAATTCTGATGTTATAACCATCAGAAAAGCATGCCACATGAGAAACCCTTCTTCTAACCCTTCTGTTGAAGTCTACGGAAAGACTGTTTCATGACTCCACTTGATGTCTGGAGCCCACAACTCTCCTGTATTTAAGAACTTCACATCAACAGTCTTTCAGTGTCTCTATGGTGTCTTCTCTAGTCCTCACCTAGAAAAGTCCTTCAAATCCTCTGTTCTACTCAAATTATGATTTTTGAAAAGATCCCTAAGACAATGACGATAGTTTAAATTCAGTATTATGAGTGACTTTGAAGAATATGAATAAGCAAGTATTCTCCTTAGATTCTGTCCTGGGCCTTCTTTTTCTGTAGTCACAATGTCTCCTCCTTATGTTAAAAAATCTTCACATCTCTAGGAAAGCACACCAGTCAGGTAACTGAATAGTAACAAAA